GGGCCGTTCGGCTTCTCCACCCGCCTCCGAATTCCTCGCTTGTCTACGGAAAAAGGGCCAATACTTCTTTAAAGCTGCAAACCTTTAGGGGCCTGATCCAGCGCCCCTCACGCGGAGGGGGAGAGAGGGCAGAGCGGGATGCGGTCGGGCCACGTTCAGCTCGACTTCACCGCCACCGATTTTTCCAAGAACATTCGATAAAGGGTCGTTTTTCTGCAGGTACAGTGAAAAATAGCAAGATGGGACTTTTTAAAAAAAAAAAAAAAAAAAGAAAAAACCGCGCGAACCTTTCGAACCGGAAAGCAGTTTGCGCCGATCGTTCCGTCAGGTTTTCCTTAAACTCGATGTGCGTTTGGATTTAAAAAAAAAAAAAAAATTTGGCTCCCATTCATTTTTTTTTCTCTCTCTCCTTCTTGCTTTTTTTTTTTTTTTTCCCACTCCTTTGCTTATCCTCGGTAAAACTGAGGTAAATCTCGGTAAAACATTTAACAGCATCATAGTGGAGAAGATGGTTTGACGCTGCCTCCGTTCCGACCCGGGAGGCCCGTTCCTTTCGGTTCTGTGACACATGGCTTAAGGGCGTTTGGAGAAGCGCCCGGGCTGGCGTGCTTGCGCCGCCGGCGAGCCCCGCGTACCCCGCTTTGCGTAGTCACCCCCAACGCCCAGGAGAGGTGCTTGAAGGCAAGTCCACGCTCGTATGCCCTTTAGCGGAAGATTCCCGATCCCAAGCTCTTTAATAATTTGGTTTCCCGCAGGAGTCGGATCGATAAAGGCTTTTAATCCAGTGGCTTCTCTTTTTTTCTTTTTTATTTTTTTTAATTTAAAAAGAAAAAAAAAAAAAAAAGGGAAATAAAAGCGTTCCCAATTGAAAAAGGTAGTGGGCTCCAATTTGTCCAAGGTCTCGAAGAGTCGCGACATCTGACAGCTTTTGCATCACGGTGAAATTTATAACTGGCTTGAAAAGGCCAAAAAATAAGCTGCTGCCATCTTTTCCACTATGTCTGAAGTTCCTGTCGTTCTCCATAGAGAGCTCATAACACTTGGTTACCTGCACATAACTCCTGGCTCATAAGAAATTATGAAACTTAACTTCTCTTTTCATTAAAAAAATAAAATATTCAAGAGTATCAGCTTTTATATAAAATATCAGCAAGCCCAAAAAAAAAAAAAAAACAATTGCTGAGGTAACTTCATACCTTGAGGTAGCTTTTTTTTTTCTTTTCTTTTCTCTTCTCTTTTTTTTTTTTCTCCTCTCGTTGCTCAAACACACAGCAATACCTGGCCTTCCCCCACATCTCGCTGTTGTTGCAATGTTTAAAAGGACAGTAACTGCTGACGCGGTGCCTTAGCAATAAACCGCCCGCGTTCCTGATGCTGCATGATCCAAATTCAAAAGCCAGTTCTCGCTTTGGACGATGCACCCAGGAATACGACTGCTGGAACAGAAGGTCTGGTCTCCACTTCGAAAAGAAACGTTAAAATCGTCAGTGCGAGGGGGGAACTAAAAGCTGCTTCGCTTTCGCCGCCCCGGAGCCGCGCGGGAAGCGGCGCCCAGCTGCGTTTCGGCTGGATTTCGCTCCGGCCGGGCAGGACTTGGCTCCGCTCGCGGCGTGCAGACGAGACCTTACCCTGCGCGGAAGAGGCGATCGCAGCAGTTACTGTCCCTTCCAAATACTCATAGTAAAAACAAATCATTAAAATATATCTAAAATATAAAATCCACGTAAGAGTGACGGGAATCAGTGACCATATTACATTCGTTTGACGTATATATTTGGCATTGTCTCACGAGAACAGTTATTCTTGCTGCAGAAAGGAGGGTGCTGGTTTGTTTTTTAAATAAGGAAAAAAAATCTTAAAAAAAAATATAAGAAAAACGTGCCAAATTTCAGAAATATTTTTCCCCCCCACCTAGAGAGATCAGAGGGGAAATAAAAGACAAACAACCCCAGGAGAGTCAACGTGAACTGGCATCTTCCCAGTGGGCTAATAAAAAAAAAAAAAATCCCCCGGGTGTTTGTTCTAAAAACCTGCATTCTCGTGCTGCAGAAAAACCGAAGGGAATTTGGGGCACAAATCGCATGTTCCGGGTGCGGAAACCGAGGCCGAACACGCGCGTGCCCAGCAGACCTCGGAGGACTTGGCCAAGGAGGCCGCGGTTCCTCCCTCCGCCTGGACGCCGGGGAAGCTCCGGTGCCAAAACTTCCCCGGATTCAGCCGTGAGGATTGCAGCAAAGCTGGGATCTAAACCCAAATCCCAGGCGGCCTTAAGCCCCATCGCCCTGTGCACCCTAAATCCCTTCGGCTCTCCGACGACCCCCAGCCTTCACTCTTCTGCATGCATCTAGTTCCCATCATCTGATTGCTAAATAGATCGTTTCCTACCCAGCATGGTTTTCTTTGCTTTTTTTTTTTTCGTTTGTTTTATTGCTCTTGCTTTGAGGGAGGAGGAAAAAAAAAAAAAAATCAAACCCCTCGCCCCGTCCCTTCCCCGGACGGTTTTCCGCGTCCCTAGGACGGGTCGTCATGCCCGCAGCTGAGGTCACAGAGAAAAACGGTCACTGCTTGGGTTGCATGTCCCAATTCTGCCATCATTTCATAGGCTTCGAAAAAAAAACAAAAAAAAAATTTTTTTTTCTTTTAAAGTAAACTAAATTAAAAATCAAAAGAAACATTCAGACAAATGAAAGAAAAAAAAACCAAATCCTGGAAAACAGAGGTGCTCTCCTGGCTTCTAAGGCTCTGCAAGGCGCTGCGCTGCAGGCGGCACGCCTGCGCTCGGGAGGCGCTGAGCCTCGAGCGGCGCAGAGCTCCGGGGGCATCCGAGCCCATCAGGCGCCCAGGCCTCGGGGCGCGCGTTTGTTCACCCGCGGTGGATCTCCTTACCCGTGGGAGGTGGTAACAGCCCGCTGGAACTTCTTAAAAAATATATAATAATAATAAAACCTAGGAAGGCCAAAATAAAAATCAAAACGCTCCAAAAGGCGTAAAACCGCTCTGGGAATTTTTCGTCAGCCGCGCTGCTGGGGGAAGGCCGGGAGGGAGCGGGGGGACGGGGAGACGCAGCTGCCGGAAAGCTCCCACGCAACGATCCGGGTGGCTTGGTACCTCCAAAGGCTACTTAAATGAGAGGGTCGACGCTGCACCAGCGAGGGGGGACCGAGCACGCGCTCGGCCCCGCGCCGGCGGGCTGTGCCGCTCCTCCCGGGGACCCTGGCGCCGCTCCGGCCACGGCAGCGAGAGCGCATCAGGTTCGCCCGCCACGCTGCAGCACGTCTCACTTCATTTAAGTAGCTGTTCTGGCACACGGAGCTAAAAACGGATCCAATTATGCGGTCTGATTTGAACCTAGACATCTACCTTGGAAGCCAATCAAACTGCCTTTTAATCTCGATCGGGTAATGAAAAATTAGCATCTGTCTACGGTAACTGATTCCCAGCCACTCTTAAGCCCGGCCTTGGCTTGTTCCACTTTTCACGTTGCCGTCGTTGCTGCTCTTATTTCCTTCGTGCTTGCGTCTGGCCGCTCTGTCCCTTCTGATGCTGCTGCTTCACCTGGGCCAGGATGTCGCGGATCTTGCGCTGTGCCATCTGGGGACGAAAAGAGCAGAGGCCGCGTTGGGGGGAGCCGCTCTGCACCCTCCCGCCTGCCCTCTGGCTTCGCCCCTCCGCGCCCTCCCCAACCTCTGTCCGGCTTATTTGGACGCCGGGGAAGAGGGACATGATTTTGCCTGTCGGGAAAAATGTAGAGCAACCGGTGAGAGTCCGGCAGCCCGAGCGGTCTGACCTGGGCAAACAACGGAGGGGAGAAAGGGAAGCAAACGCCGGCTGCTTAGGCCAGGGAAAGGAGTGAAAAGCAGAAGGCTTCAAATGCATCTGCAGAAAAGAGCAAAGCCTGGCTCAGGCCAGGTTTGGCTGAAAAGGCAGGACAGTCTCTTCGATGAGGACTGCAAACAGGGAGGGAGAGCGCAGGATCTCCATCGCTGGTGGTTTTAAGAACCTGAGACATAAAGGACTGTCAGGAAGTAAGTGAGAAGAGCTGATGGTTCATCAGGGTAGGGGTGGACTAGGTGACTCGTGGAGATCCCTTTCTGTCCTATTTTTAGGCTGGTTTCCTCAGGAAGTCAGAGTTATGCAGTCATGCTCCATGAATGCGTGTGTGCGCGCCTGCATGCACTCGAGCAATTCCCTTTCCTTCCCCCCGCCATCACCTTTGAGAGCCCCCACGGGCCACAGCGGGCACCTCACGGCTATCCAGCTCTGCAAAAATCAACTGCCAAGCGGAGGAAAACAATCCCGCAGGAGGAAAGGTGCCAAGCAAACACAACCCTTACGAGACGTCAGAGAAGCCACAAGCACAAGCGCGCGCCGGGCACCGGATCTCACTAGTTCTGCCGCTCGCAGACCCGCTTGCCCTGCGGCCTCCGGAGCCCCC